TTGCACTCCTTAAGTTCTGTTATCCAGAGACTCCTTAATTTACAAAATGGCGGTCGCAAGGGACTGGCACTGAAATGAGTTGCAACAGGGTGGAGTATGGGACAAATTCTTTTGCAAAGACATCTTAAATTTGATACAGAAATTAAGAACATTTAGAAAACACAACAATTCTATATTAATTATCAATGCAGACTGAGGTATTCTTTGACTTTAAACAAAATTTTAATCGTTCAAGTACATCATAGTTTTCAACCCTTGCTTGCAAATGTTTCAAGTACCTTTACACAGGCCTTCAAACACAGATCTTCAAACGACTTACACTTTTACAAGTAGTAAATAATATATTCAATATAATATATACAATGATATGTTCAATATTATATATACAATAATACATTCAATATAATATGTACAATAATATATTCAATATTATATATACAATAATACATTCAATATAATATGTACAATAATATATTCAATATTATATATACAATAATACATTCAATATAATATGTACAATAATATATTCAATATTATATATACAATAATACATTCAATATAATATGTACAATAATATATTCAATATTATATATACAATAATACATTCAATATAATATGTACAATAATATATTCAATATTATATATACAATAATACATTCAATATAATATGTACAATAATATATTCACCACATTCCCCAATTCCCACATTCCCCAATTCCCACATTCTCCAATTCCCATATTCCCCAATTCCACATTCCCCAATTCCCACATTCCCCAATTCCCACATCCCCCAATTCCCACATTCCCCAATTTCACATTCCCCAATTCCACATTCCCCACTTCCTACATTCCCCAAATTCTCACATCCCTCAATTCCCACATCCCCTAATTCCCACATCCCCAAATTCCCAAACCCCCAAATTCCCAAATCCCCAAATCCCTACGTCCCTAATTTCCCAAATCCCCAAATTCCCAAACTCCACTTCCCAAAAAACCCAAAACACCCCAATTCCCAAATTTCAAAAATCTTCAACTCCCAAAACCCCAAAACCCTCCCATAAAAAGTACCTATAACGCTACCTCACAAACATCCCAACAAAGATATCCACATACATCAAAATCCTGTAAGTACACTCATCCATAAAAGTTCTTAATTCGACCCAGCATCGATCGAAAGGGTAAACATGTATTTTTAAAAGCATCCAGAAAATTGCGAGCCATATTCCATGCACGGCATTGTAGAACTCGGTGAGCGGAGTTTGCGCGAAGATATAAAGCGCCTATAAATTCTTAAATAAGAGCCTAATTAATAAATCCGGTACCTCAACTAATAACACTAGATCCCAATTTTCCCCGCAGTATCTACCAATTAAAAAGGAAGCTCCTCTCTCGTGAACCCTCATCTTCCTTGAACGTCTACAAATCCTCGCTAAATTTATGTTCATCATAACGCGATATATCCTTTCGTTTTCCCTTTCCGCTATCGTTTCTTTTTACAGAGGGAAATTCTTGTAATAAATAATAATCGATGGCATAATTGAGGAGGGTAATTGGGAAGGTTTGTGGGGGTTGAACGCGGAAATTGTAGACGTTTAACCCTTTGAGAGGTGAACGGTTACTGTTTTATTTAAGACAATATTTTGAGATGAGCATTTTTTAATTAGTTCTTTGATATCACACGTGGATGCATCAGCATAGTAAAAGAAACAATAGTTATTAGTAAATAAATAATAATTTCAAAAGAATTCATTTAACTTTTTAACTAGTAAGTTTTAAAGTTGCTAGGTTACCCCTTTGCACTCCTTAAGTTCTGTTATCCAGAGACTCCTTAATTTACAAAATGGCGGTCGCAAGGGACTGGCACTGAAATGAGTTGCAACAGGGTGGAGTATGGGACAAATTCTTTTGCAAAGACATCTTAAATTTGATACAGAAATTAAGAACATTTAGAAAACACAACAATTCTATATTAATTATCAATGCAGACTGAGGTATTCTTTGACTTTAAACAAAATTTTAATCGTTCAAGTACATCATAGTTTTCAACCCTTGCTTGCAAATGTTTCAAGTACCTTTACACAGGCCTTCAAACACAGATCTTCAAACGACTTACACTTTTACAAGTAGTAAATAATATATTCAATATAATATATACAATGATATGTTCAATATTATATATACAATAATACATTCAATATAATATGTCAATAATATATTCAATATTATATATACAATAATACATTCAATATAATATGTCAATAATATATTTAATATAATATATACAATGATACATTCAATATTATATATACAATAATACATTCAATGTAATATGTACAATAATATATTCAATATAATAAACACAATAATATATTCAACTAATTTGACCAAATTATAAGATTCAAAAGAAACATCAAGTCACTCGAGACACAGGAGTGCAAGGGGTTAAATTTCGAAATTGTTTTTGATCGGTCGTTGAATGAAAAGTAAATTGAATGAACGTTCTGGACCGAAACCGAAGTGCTTCATAGAAATGCAACAAGGAGGTTAAGGAACACGAACTTTTCCACGAGTCTTATCGAGCACACTTTTTAATCGGGCCTCGTGTACGGCATTCCGTGCGCGGCTTGTCGATTTGGGGTCAGAAAAATGACCCGTCGTCCACGGGAAGGTTAACGATAGTTCCATCGTCCAGGATTTTCCTGGTACGATATTTTTATTATTTACGTTTATATTCATTTTATTTTTCCTTGTTTCGGTGTATTATAGCTTTAATTAGAGGATGAATTATTTGGGGTTTATTTATAAGGATGTTCAATATTCTTTTTTTTTAACTGATTTTGGTGAATTGTAGATTTAATTTTATTGGGTTATGTGGGGTTTATTTATAAGGACGTCCAATATTCTTTTTTTTAAACTGATTTTGGTGAATTGTAGATTTAATTTTATTGGGTTATGTGGGGTTTATTTATAAGGACGTCCAATATTCTTTTTTTTAAACTGATTTTGGTGAATTGTAGATTTAATTTTATTGGGTTATGTGGGGTTTATTTATAAGGACGTCCAATATTCTTTTTTTTAAACTGATTTTGGTGAATTGTAGATTTAATTTTATTGGGTTATGTGGGGTTTATTTATAAGGACGTCCAATATTCTTTTTTTTAAACTGATTTTGGTGAATTGTAGATTTAATTTTATTGGGTTATGTGGGGTTTATTTATAAGGACGTCCAATATTCTTTTTTTTAAACTGATTTTGGTGAATTGTAGATTTAATTTTATTGGGTTATGTGGGGTTTATTTATAAGGACGTTCAATATTCTTTTTACTGATTTTGTAAATTTTAAATTTGATTATAATGGAGTTAAAGTGTAGGGTTTATTTACAGGGACATTCAGTATTCTTCTTTTACTGATTTTGTAAATTTTTAATTTAATTAGATAAGGGTTAATACTGTGGGGTTTATTTACAGGGATATTCAATATTCTTTTTACTGATTTTGTAAATTTTAAATTTGATTATAATGGAGTTAAAGTGTAGGGTTTATTTACAGGGACATTCAGTATTCTTCTTTTACTGATTTTGTAAATTTTTAATTTAATTAGATAAGGGTTAATACTGTGGGGTTTATTTACAGGGATATTCAATATTCTTTTTACTGATTTTGTAAATTTTAAATTTGATTATAATGGAGTTATTACTGTAGAGTTTATTTACAGGGACATTCAGTATTCTTCTTTTACTGATTTTGTAAATTTTTAATTTAATTAGATAAGGGTTAATACTGTGGGGTTTATTTACAGGGATATTCAATATTCTTTTTACTGATTTTGTAAATTTTAAATTTGATTATAATGGAGTTAATACTGTAGGGTTTATTTGCAGGGATATTCAATATTCTTTTTACTGATTTTGGTAAATTGCAGATTTAATTATATGAGATTAATACTATGGGGTATATTTACATGTACGTCCATTTTCTTTTTTTCTGGTTTTCATAAATTATAAATTTAACGTATGATGTTAAATATATGGGATTTATTTACACGTACGTCCATCTTCCTTTTACCGATCTCAGCAAACAAGTTTAATTACATGAAGTTAGGTTAGGTTAATTATACGAGGATCATTTGCACATGCATTCATTTTCTTTCAATTATTAACTACTCACAATTGTTTACAAAAAAAAAACAAGTTTGTCCTCATATTTCATGAAATTTAAAAAACTTTAATATCTCAATTTTCATATACACGATGCTTTAATAATTCACCAAATTTGTAATTCACATAATTAATTATCGTTTTTATGTGACGCCTCCATAATTAATTCTATCTGTTATTTATATAATTAGTCACTTTGACACAACATTTTAATAATTCATCGAACCTGTAATTTCTCGATTATCACTGTATGTGATGTTTTAATAATTCACGTTGTTAATTATTATCGCCGTTATATAATGTTTTTGTAATTCAATAATCAGCGTGTAATTTACAAAACATTTTAATAATTAGTTCACTCTGTGATTCGTGTAATTAATTATCATTTTTTTTTGGAAGTTTAATGTAAGGTTAAATATGATTTCTGTAAAATGTTGAATTATCAACCCCTTATGTGATCCATGTGATTTTTATGGGATATTTCAACAATTATTTAATCTATTATTTTTATATTTAAGTTTCTTGATTCACAGGGTGTTTCAGTAATGTGAGTCTGTGTCTATACTTTGTTAATACAAATTTAATTATTTATCAAACATCAACATAGTCTCCATAATAAAACATACTGAAACCTTCTCTGTAAAACATTCTAATTTATTATCCTAAATATACTAATTATTAAAACATTAATTTTGCTAACTCAACCTGATTACTTCTCCTAGTTACAAAAACGTCCCACACGCGATCAAATCTCTGGAATGTCCCAATACTAAATCCCGAATCCCCAAATACTAATCAACACACAATATTCCTCAAAATCATCAAAACTAAAAAACATCTTACCTCGAGAAACGCAGTGTCCAGAAGATTTCCAAAGCTAATTCACCGATCACAGATATTCTTCTCCGGAAACTCGAAAATCACCAGAAAGAATAATTTCCTCGATGTGAGACAGGATTTCGATAACGACACCTTCGATCGCGAAACGAATCGTGTTACTGATGGTTTCGAGGGAAAGGACAACGATGACCCGGAGGAAGAAGACTGACTCGAGAGGAAACGTCGAACGTCCACGCTGACGTCGAGCGTACTACTACCGAGGTTTAACTCACGATATGTCCAGTCGACAGAGATTAGAACAGCTGGTTCCAGGTCCCTACCACGAGGGTCCCTACCTCTACCACCACCGTACCGACTTATCGAAAACTATGATTCAGAATTTGCTATCGACCCCCTCCAAACGATCGCACCGATTAGTGGCTAATTTTGGCGTAGTGGGATATATTGTCTTTGTACTTATTTATAGCTTTCATGTACTTAATTATGGGATGTGTTCTATTAATGTAGGGAGAATGTATGTTTTGTAAAATAATTGGGTGTTATATGGAGAATGTGTGGCATGTAAAATAATTATGTAGTATATAGAGAATGTATGGTATGTAAAATAATTGTGTATCATATGGAGAATGTATGGTATGTAAAATAATTATGTAGTATATGGAGGATGTATGATATGTAAAATAATTGTGTATCATATGGAGGATGTATGATATGTAAAATAGTTATGTAGTATATAGAGAATGTATGGCATGTAAAATAATTGTGTATTATAAGGAGGATGTATGATATGTAAAATAATTATGTAGTATATGGAGAATGTATGGTATGTAAAATAATTGTGTATCATATGGAGGATGTATGGTATGTAAAATAATTGTGTATCATATGGAGAATGTGTGGCATGTAAAATAATTGTGTATTATATAGACAATGTATGATATGTAAAATAATTGTGTATCATATGGAGAATGTATGATATGTAAAATAATTATGTAGTATATGAAGAATGTATGGTATGTAAAATAATTATGTAGTATATGGAGAATGTATGATATGTAAAATAATTATGTAGTATATAGAGAATGTATGGTATGTAATATAATTGTGTATAATATGGAGAATGTATGGTATGTAAAGTAATTGTGTATTATATGAAGAATAGGTGTGTCATGATGAGGGAGTATGTTATGTGGTCACATGTGGACATATATGTTGGGGGTGTGTGACTTATTAGATACATATGTAGATCCTCATATTTATGTATTATAGTTTGAGATTATCAAATGACTATAATCCTTGATTACTATAGACCCAAAACTCTACATACAATTGTATTTTATATTTAAAAATTTCTATTATTGCAAATCTATAACTTTCAGACCTTTATGTCACACCCCTATACTCCAAATATATCTAAAATTCTTATATTCCCAAATTCCTATGTCCCCAAGTTCCTAAAACCCCAAATCCCTAAGCCCTCAAATTTCTACACCCCCATATCAGAAATACCCCTATATTAAAAATTATGAAATTCTAATAATTCCAGATCTCTACATCCATAAATTGCTATATCCCCAGCTCCCTAAAATTCCAAATTTCTATATTCTCCACTTCCTACAACCCCAAATCCCTAAACCCTCAAACTGCACCCCCATACCACAACTGCCCCCACATTAAAAATTTCCAAATTCTAATAATTCCAGATCTCTACATCCATAAATTGCTATATCCCCAGCTCCCTAAAATTCCAAATTTCTATATTCTCCACTTCCTACAACCCCAAATCCCTAAACCCTCAAACTGCACCCCCATACCACAACTGCCCCCACATTAAAAACTTCCAAATTCTAATAATTCCAGATTCTTACATCCAAAAATTGTTCCCATATCTCCTAACACATACGTCATGCAAAAACGAATTCTCAGAAAATTCTCCCCCTTCAATTACCATAAATATCGAAAAAAACATAACGTAGCATAAATCCCTTCACAAGCGAAATTACATGGACTTAACAGACTCCAACGAGATCTCGTACAGATGCAGAGGAAGAAATTTGAAAGTCGCACACGATATATATGTCATATAGCAAAGGAGACGTCGAATCGACGTCGTAATTTTGAGAGGCAACGAGCACGATTACGACGGTGGGTCTACGATATAGCGAATACATGACGCGACATCGTGTGAACCAAAGAATGAGAAGGGAAGAGGACGAAGAATCGAGAAGAGCGAGTGTAAGAGCGTAAAATGCGTTACACGTGCTGCTTCCTATCGTACCAATGACCCAAAGGTCAATCCAGCCGACTACCGTTGATTTAATCTCGGGTCAAAAGACAGCGCGTGTTGTACGGATCGTTGATCGAAAATCATCGTTTCTCGAGATAAACGACCAACAGCGGCTACTTCTTGACTCGTAGGTCAAAATGATTGTGTGGGATGAGGAAAATTGGAACCACCTGAAGAACTTATTTATCAAATTTATATATCTTCTTTCCATAGTCCTCAAATTTTTAAACATTTAACCTACAAGTTTTTCGGCAGGTGCGTCAGTCAGAGCTAATTATTACTGCAGCGATAAATAAAGAATATCGATGTGTTAGGTATATTTTGACTATCTTAGGTATATTACGATTTAGACTGGTAGTTATAGGGCCTAAGCATCCGAATTCATACGTTTTTAAATTTCTATGTCTACAAATGGTTATATATGTAAATTCCGATGTCAGGCAAAAACAATTGTTCGTTGATGCAATATTAAATATTGGAACAAGGAAAGTTAAAATGTTGTCAGTGATCGACTATGTAAATTGCAAATGAATGTAAAGTTCAAGTTTAAGAATGCTTAGAGTAAGATTTATTATATTTGAACTGTGAGTGCGTCACGAGTCGAAAGATAGCAAGAAGTTAATAGCTAAATTAAATAATTTGAAAGTTTGCAGAGGTGTTCGTATCGTTGGTTTTGAAGAGTACATAAAAGAAATTGATTAAAAGAATGAATGTCTTTTTGAAGATATGATTAGTAAGAAAAATGTATGAAAAAACGAATGATAGATTGAATTGAGAATACATAGAATATTATATTAACAAGTAAAGTATTTTTAAACTACATTGTAAAGTACATTATGTTTGAAACTCAGGTAAAAAGGGCCTTGTGGAAAACCCATGTTTAATGACGTCCTTCGACAAGTCCTCTCCTTCGTCCTTTGTATCTACAGCGTTTATGACCATAGGACCTCCTGGCTGTCCTCTGTTTAGGACCTAACCTCACAATTTCTCTGCAGAACAAAGAACTAGAAACTATGGAAGTATTTTGTCCGTACCTAACGCAAATTGTAAGAGGCCTAAGGCTTTCAAAAGTAACTTCCCTGTTGTGTCTTAAACCTCGTCACCGAAAACCCTAACGGATCCACTAATAAAGATGGCTGAAGGTACTGCGACAACTACAGAAAGTCTAAAGAGCAATATAATAAGAGATTGTATGAATGGATTTACTTCACTGTTCAATATAATCTGCAATTGTTTAATTTATCCTAATACAATATTTCTCCACAAATCTTCTTTCTCCTGATACTTCCGTAAATATTTCCCTCGCTCGCATGGAAATAACAGCAACAAGCAATTTCCAAGGCAAAGATTCTGTTTGCTCCGATCGGGACGGTTGTTTAAAGAAGATAAGAAACAAGAGGTTATTCTCTCAAATTGAAAACAGAAATCTATAAATAGTATGCAAATCTATAAATAATATGTGCTGTATTATGTATCATTCCTATATTAATTTTATTACAACATTAATATCTAAAAATTCCTAAATTCTCAAAAATTCATATTCCTTCGCTTCGCGAATAAAATTCCAATCGAAAGAAAAATTAAAAAAGAATTAAAACGCTTAGAAGAGATATCGTCTCACTACGGCTAATTGCTATTCTCGAAGAAGTTGAAAAATTGAATGAAAAAATTAATTTTTAATAAACTTAACAGCCGGCTCCCAAGAAGGAAACGTTTACTTAAATGATCATTCTCGTTGAAATTCGTCCCGTTCATTTCAGCCGTCTCAATCTTTCACGTTTAACCTAGAAAATTCTTCCTGAAGACGTTCCGCGATTGTCGTTGATTAATCATTCTCTGTTTCGTCGTGCTTACCTGATTGTTTTATTCATTCTGAAACTGGAAACTTTCCAAAGAAGATGCTCGTAAACGCGACAGAACAACTGCCTCTCGTTGCGTTATGCTTCCTTCCCCTGATGTCTTTTGCAACGAAACTCGATAATCATTTCAAGTCCAAACTCTTGCCGAAAGTCTCTTAAAGAAAATATTTGAAATCCATGCAGATACGACGAACAAAACTTAGCCGAGCCTTTAAACTTTACTGCTCATCGCGATAATTCCTTTGTTATAGTTCCTGATTCCATGTAACTTCCTCGTTTTGTAAGTTAGGTTAGTTGCGCGATTAGATTATCGCTTTGAGATATTTTCTGAAAGTTTTTATGCGTTTCTTTGTTCTTTGTTGAAGTAATTAGGGAGATAATATACTCTTTATTGTGTAATCAAATTTTTATGTTGTTTTGTAGGAATTTTATAGGTTACGAGTATTAGGTTATAGGCAAGATAAAGCTTGTGTAGCTGTTGAGGTATTTGGAAGTAACTGTTAAAATTATAATGTAGTTATTAATTACAATTTAATAGTAGTGTGTAAGGACTAAGGTAAAAAATTTGCAAGTTCAACAATTTGTAAATTTATAAGTTTCAAGGTTTACTGTAAACATTTAGAACAGTGAATTTTTCCAGATCAGTGTCTCAAAATTTCAATGTCCCGAAATTCCTACGCTTCGAAATTTCTACGTCCCCCAAATTTCCATGTCCCGAAATTCCTACGCCTCGAAATTCCAACGTCCCCAAATTCCCACGTCCCGAAATTCCCACGTCCCCAAATTCCCACGTCCCCAAATACCCACGTCCCCAAATTCCCACGTCCCGAAATTCCAACGTCCCCAAATTCCCACGTCCCGAAATTCCCGCGTCCCCAAATTCCCACGTCCCGAAATTCCATCGTCCCGAAATTCCCACGTCCCGAAATTCCCACGTCCTCAAATTCCCACGTCCCCAAATTCCCACGTCCCAAAATTCCTACATCCCCCAAATTTCTACGTCCCGAAATCCCTAGGTCCCCCAAATCCTTACATCCCCCAAATTTCCACGTCCCAAAATTCCTTCACTCCGAATTCCCTACATCCCCCAAATTTCTATATCCTCTAATTCCCGCAGTCCCCATAT